ATCTAAAAAATCTGAAAAAAATATATGTTAAACTACAACTAATAAACTTTATTTTAATATAAAAATAAAAATTATTTTTTATTAAAATTATAAATTTTTATATAGAGAGAAAATTTTAATTTTCACTATATTTTATTAGTAAATTTAGTTTCTAAGTCATTATTTTTGATTGTTACTATATATATTTAATTAATAATTTAACTATTAATTAAATATTTAATATTTTTAGACTATTTATATTATAATATTACTATTAAAATTAAAATTAATTAAATAAAAATCTTATTAAGTTTGAATTATTACTATATTTTTTATTATTTAAATTATTAAAATATAAAATTATAAGTAATAATATAAAATAAAATTTAATTATTTGAAATTAATAATATAAAAATATTTTATTTATATTATTAATTATTTTTTTATTATATTTATAATATTTTATTTTAAAAATAATATAATTATTTAAAATTAAAATTAAAATTAAAATAAATAATTTATAAAATAATAATAATATATAATCAAATTTTTTATAATTAAATAAATTTTATGTATTATTTAGTTTTTTAAAAAATAAAAAGATTTAGTTAAATATTAAATTATATATATAATTTATAAAAAATTTTTATAATAAAATTTATCAGATAAAAAAAATATTATTATTAAATATAAATTAATAATAAATATTATTTTTTTTATTTTTTTAGATTTCTAAATATTAATTAATTATAATTAAAAAATCTTTTTATAATTATATTTTTTATAATTATTTAATTTTATTTTCAAATATAATAATTATAATTAAACTTTTTATTATTATATTATTATATTTAATTGTTAATTATTATTATATATATTTATTAAATAGTTATATAGTAACTTTTATAATTATAAAATCAGAGAGTTAATTTTATTAATAAAATATAGTAAAAATTAAAATTTTCTCTATATATTAAATCTTATAATTTTATTAAGAGATAATTTTTACTTTTATATCAAAATAAAGTTTATAGTTTAATATATATTTTTAAGATTTTTTCTGAAAGAATTATTTTAATTATAAAGTTAATATAAAAGTTTTATTAATTAAATTTTATTTTTAATTAGTAAAAATTTTTATAATATCTTTAATTAAAATAACACTTTTAGAAAGAATCTAAAAAATCTGAAATAATATATAATAATTAATAAATAAAATTAATATTTATAAAAATAATATAAACTAATCCATATAATTCTAAATATTCAGAATAATAAATAAAAATAAAAAATATCTTAATTAAAATTATTATAATAATATTTTTATTAAAATTAGAATTAGAATTAGAATTAAAATTATATTAAATATTATATATAATAATAGTTAAAAATATATTAGTAAATCAAATTTATTAATAAAATATAATATTTTTCTTTATATTTAAGTTTTTAATTAAAAATAAACTTTAATTAGAAAATATTTTGTAATAACTTTATAATTAGAATAATATTTTGAGAAAAATCTAAAAAAAATATATATTAAATTATAATATATAAACTTTATTTTGATATAAGAATAAAAATTATTCTTTAAACTTTAATATAGAGAAAATTTTAATTTTATTAATAAACTTAATTTTTTGATATAATATATTGATTATTACTATATATAATAAAACTTTGTAATTTAAAAAGTAATTTTATAAAATAAAATTTTAAGATATAAGCTATGTTTTATTTTTTTAATATTTAGATTTATTTATTTAGAATTTTTTTATTATAAATTAATTTTGTAATTTAATTAAAAATTATATATTTTGAAATATTTTTTGTTATAATTAGAATATTTTTAATTTTTAAAAACTTTTTTTAGTATAGTTAATAATAGACTTGCATATATAACTTTTTTAATTATATGGCTTACTATTTTTTATTAATTCGTTATTTTTAAAATTAGCTAATCAAATTACAAGATTAAAATATAATATAAAATTCAAAATAAATAAAAATAAAGTTATTTTTAAAAAAATTACTTGTATTTCAAAATTTTGTCTATAAAACTGCTTTTTATGCTTTATTAAAATTATTTCTTGTAAATTTTAATTTTATAACTTGATTTATAATTCAATTAGTTATTAATATTTTTCTCTATTGATAAAAATATATTACGGTATACTGAGTGATTTGTAAGAAAAACTACAGATTTAGATGACGTTAGCTGATTCGAACCAAAGGAGTTTATTATTTTAATCACTACTCTTATCAAATTTCATTAATTTATTATTTATCTGTATTTATAGTTAATATAGCTTTTAAAAAAATGAATAGACCATTGAAAAGTTATCGTCACTTTCGATCATGATTTTCTACTTTAAATTTTCTTTTTAGACATTTGTTTTTTATACACGCGCCAATTAATTTAATCATGGCATTATTCACACAGAATCGTTATACGCGTATCACAGTTAATTTTTTTCTCGTCAAAACACAGCACTTTATATCCCCACACAGCTATGCATATTTGAAATATTAAACTGGGTTCACAATTCAAAAGAAGTTATCGATTTCATGAAAAATGTGTTCGAGATCAAACGACATAAACTTGTGTCTTTGAGTGTACATTTAACTTTCATCACCGAGAAATATAATTAAAAATTAACCAAGAAAAATATGACACTTGATTTGCTATTAACTTCACATTTAAAAAGACTTGATGAATTTTATAAAATTCAGACATGCATTTAAAGTTTGTGTGTGTCTTCTTGTTATTTGTTATTGTCGTGTTAAGAACTTACCCAAAAATAAAATAGCACCAAAATAGCGTAATCAAATATATACTTCGAACATTTCTTATTTTATTCATTATAATTATTATTATAATAGAACTTTATCCAACTTAGTTTTTTTAATAATTAAACACATATTGAAACATTTTAATACAGTATAATATTTAGTATAATGTTTGGTACACTCTTTAGTACAATATTCAGTACAATATTCGATACACTATTTTGATATAATATTCAGACTCTTTGATATAATATTTCGACATTCTGTAAACTTTGGTATAGTCCAAACCATATATCCATTATAAAATATACATATAGATATTCTTGTGTCTTTAATCAAGATAAAGTATATAGTAATGAAATAGTATTATCTCTTGCTTGTATTATTAAACTTTGAATTTATTACTTTTACCAAAAGATATCATAATTATTGTGATTTCTTTTGTAGAATAATCTAGTTATAAAGAGGATTCATTTAATCATGCATCTTATACTGCTGTAAATTTGATTCATAAAACTTAATATAATTAAATAATCTCTTTATAATAAACTAAATATATATAGTAATAATAGTTATTAACATAATAATTCCTATTATTTTCAGCTTTTCTTCTTGTTCTGTTAATTATTTTCAAATTATTTCAGTTATTTTCTCTTATCTCTTATCTCTTTCTTATCTCAAAATATTATTACTTAAAAATAAAATCTCTTTTCAACTTAATAATCTGATTTGATAATAAAAAGCTTTATTTATTTATTTAAACCAGCTGAAAATTACTCTTTTAAATAATTTTCATCTTATTTCTTAATTTTTGAAGATTTTAATAAATTTATTTCTTTATTTCTTTATTCTTGCTAATAATTCTTTTTTATTTTATTTTAAATCTCTTTTTTTATTTCTTTATTCATTTTCTTATTATTTTTCTATCATTAATCTTAATTATTAATTCTTGATACTTATATATACTTATTTCTTGAGAACAACAAAGTTAATATTGTGCTTACTAATTTTTTCTTCATTTTATCTTAACTTTTTGCCTTACTAAAACCAAATTATGATTATAATCTGTAATTTTCTAAATATAATAAATATTATTTATACTTCTAATAACTTATATTTCCTGTTCTGTTATTAATATTCTCTAATTCCATGCAAATTAATAAACATGTTCAAAAATATATATTATTAATAACTATTTTATATATTTCACTCAATTTTCCTGGTTATATCATGTTCGTTATTATTTTCCTTTATTATTATTATTCAATAACAAATAATTCAAACAAAACTTATTTCATTATCTTAATTTTTTTATTCTTTTTTCTGTTATATTCTATTTTTTGATAGATACTTCTTTCAATCTTTTAATAAAGATAATAAATATTTTTAAATTTTTCTCTTTTTCTTTACATCTTTATAATGAAATCACGATAATATCAGTTTTTTTCATATTTCTCTTCAGATTTTAAAATAATGAAAGTAAAATATTTGTATTTATTACTAAAAATCGATTATTAAATGAATTACATCAGGAAATATGCTTTGTAAAAGTCCTGGTTAACTGGTCTGGTCCAAGATCCTGAACCATTAACATCTATCCATTAAAAAATTGAGAGCAATATAAAAAAAATTTTCATTCATTCGAGAACATGCTTTTACTAGAATTTTTTTCGCGTGTTCCGTTTCTTGAGTGAGCCACTGTGCATGTACTAATTGGGATTCTATATTGATTGGGGAAATACATGTACTCGCTTCAATCGACCAACCACATACAAAGCCAAAATTTCGTTTAAAGACATATTTAATATTTTGACAAGAAAAATAATTTACAACACATATTGCAATCAATTTGTATAGTGTTAACGTTACCGATACATGTACCTATGCAACATGTATTGTAATGAACTACGCAAGAATTTAATGATACTGTACATGTGATTTTTACAATATAAAAACATAAATCTGCGAAGATTATCGTTATGACTATTGGCTTCCATCTGGGAAAAATTCCATAACTACATGAATCTCACCGGTACTTTCATGTTTCCCTGGTGGAGATACATGCACCCACAAATCTTGAAAGAAATGTTTGTAGACGGTTTCTAACGGAATTTTTGTTTCACCGAGCTTTTTTTGTTCGATAGAACATGAAAGTTATATTAATTCTTTGGCTTCATTGAGACGTAATTTTTGAATTTACCTTGTCATCGATTATTAAGTCTTTATCAATAAGACGAAGGTGAAGATGCTTATGTCCATTTACTATACTATAAATACAAGAGTGTCTTAATTATTGTCATCATAAGTTATTGATTAATTATGGCACACATACAAAGTTCGTTCTTCAAGCCATACAGGCGTTCTCGTATTAAATCGTGACTCAGTTCGTTGCTTACGCCATTTGTCTAGCCAAAATTCAACAAAAGGGTCTCCTGTAATTTTTTCGTGTGTCGTATTTAAATGTCATGTGCCTTCGTGTCTCAATGAGATTTTTTAAAGTTTCGTAATTTACCTTTGCCTATTTTATAATAAAAAAACGAAGTAACAGTTATAAGAAAAAATTCATAACTATATAAAATATGACACTAAGATAATTACCCGTAATAATATCTGCATCTTTGACATTTCGTCCTTCAACTTTAAAATTAATTATTAGCCGTAAATTTTTGTATTATAATTTTAAAGAATTGCTGTAATAAATAATTACTTACGAATGCGCACATGAAGTATCCCTTTTGACATTTTTACCAGTCAATATTATTTTTTACTAGTGGTATTAACAAAGAAGTCAAAATGGATTAAGCAATGACTTTGAGAAAAAAACGGTTTTATACATGTAGAACAGACAATGGGTTACAAAGTAAGATGATTGGTCAACGTCAAGATAAAGCGCACAAGAGTGGCGCATTAGCGCATGTCCACATGATAGTCGTCTTTTAATGGGATTTCTATAACGTACTGTGTCGGGTGTTAGTGCAGTGCTACGTATCAAAAAAACTATGAAGGGAAAACTACGGCATGCTCTTAAGAACAAAAGTAGGGCCATGAAGAAAATACATGTAGTGAGTTTATGAAGAGGTTGTATTTGAAAGGAAATGAATTGGAAAAAACATCTGAATTCGGGAAACGTGACGACCCAAGATATCGAAAAATGAAAAGAATATTTTTTCGTTGGAAAGATTTGTTAATTATAGTAACATAAAAATACGTCATATTGACGCAATTGAGAAATACATATATATACTTATATTATATTATTGCAACCTCCACAAATCACGCTAAAATGCATGAACTATTGTTTTTAAGGATTATTAGTTTCATTTAATAAATAATTTTATTGTGAAGCGAGTCTTCTCACCTTCAGTATTTGGTTCAACAGAAACAACTCTAGGATCATTTTTCAATTTCTCAACCGCATCTTTCGATAAATTTGCCACAAATGCGGGAATAATGCCAAATCTATATGTAATTTCACCACCAAGGTCTTGCGTTTCGCGTTCAACCGACTCAGTTTGCATGGAATCTTTAAGACATACGATATAACTCTGGGAATCTATCGGCAAACAATGCAATCAGAAACATGAATATTTATCTAATACAAATACTGAAAAATTACCACACGATACATGTATTAAGAGACAAAGCATGATAATAAAGAACATGATAAATTTAAGTAAAGAATACATTATGGGAAGGTGAATTAACAAAAAATACGGGTTGTCCTGAAACCCTTTTTATATATAAGATTTTTTAACAATTAGATGCATAATGAAAATCACCACGTCTTTATGATTATTGATTTTCTAACAATTAACGTGAAGAAAAGAAGAATGATTTTTCTAAAAAAAAAAATTAATAAACTCTATATAAATATTAATAAGTGAGTGAGATATTAGCAAAAACATCTAAAAATTTGAATTAAGGATAAGTCAATAATTGGGTTTTGATTTCCAAGTCAAATTGATCACAAGAAGTTTCTTTACAGAATTCTTCATTGTATTTCTGATAGAATTCTCCCAAACGACTTTCAATATTTGACTTCACCGTTGTCAAAAGGGTCGTAAAATCTTTTTCCGTAAATGCACCAGTTCTCGTCAATGTATCATTTACCGCCAGCGTGAGCACATTCAAAAATTCACCTTTCGTCGACGCCTCTTCAAGAGCTGTTTTTATTGTCCTTACATTTCTCTCTTTAATCATAGGCAAAAAATGACAAATCGATGGCGGATTTCCGCAAATGTAGTCCATTTTTTCACAATCACTCATTTTCCATATTTTCGGTGGTTTCGGTTGTTTGACACGAAATGGATGATTACAGTCACCTCTGAATTGTGGTTGTTGACGGAAAATAGCGTCTTCAATTATTGTTGGAAGTTGTGCATCGAAATTTGTTTCGAGTTCTTGCGCATGATTTTTCAAAGTTGTGATTAGTTTGTTCGTGATTGGTGCGGCGTCATCGGATTGCACGTAATTCTCGAGGTTAATATTCTCGAGTGCAGTTGACTCCAAATCATTGAAAAAATCTTGCCATAATGGACTTGTGACGTTTGAATATTTTTCGGCAAAAGTTGTGCTGATTCCGACACGACATGTTTTTTCACACCCGTTGATGAGATCAACATTAAATAATATAGACGAGAAACTGACCAGCAGTAATATCTTCTTTTTCGATAAAATTATTTTCATTGTTTTGAATTTAAATGGTTGACCAAGGGAATATGGTTGAGTTTATGGCAAAAATAAAAGCCTTTCTTCAAAAATAAAAAAATATTAAAGGAAAGAATGAATAAATGAATGTAAGTGATGAAAAGAAGCACAATAATGTATCATATGTGGCCGACAATCGATTCGGGTATTAATATCGATATCGATTACATGTAACATGTACATGTAAATGACATGCAGATGATTTACAGTTTAATCTAAATATGGACCACAAGAATTCCAAGATCAATATTAACTGCATAAACGAACAATTATATTATGGTTAAGTTGTCAAAAACTCATGAATTTTTGCAAGGTAACCGGAAACCTTAACTATAATACATGTAAAATAAACTATAGTGGCTATTGATTTATAAAAGTTCAAGTTCAATCAAAAGCAGCAACTTATAAACCAAAATGGTTTTCTTGTCGTTTTGTTAAGACTATGCATGTACTATTATTAAATATTTTCGCTTCCCATTATAATAATTTCTAAAATAAAAAATATGGAACATGTTCGTCCTTTATTTTTAAATTGACACGAACATATATATATATTTTATAATTAAATTTTAATTAACATTTTGTGAAAAATTTCTCGAGAAATTAAAATTTAGTTAAGCAAGCTGCAAATGCTATTCGATCAAAATTTCTTATGAATATATAAGATATGATTAGAGCATTGATTTTTTAGTTTTTGCTCACGAAGAAACATCTTGGTAACTTAATAATTATTACTATAGATAAAAGAGCTTTCCATGAAAAAAGAATTCAAAGAATAAGAACAATTGAAAGAATTATCGAAATCACATGAATATGTCATACAATGCGTAACAAAAAAAATGGCAATTAGAAATCACACGATTACGGAAGAATGATCATGCCGAGCCACGTAAAATTTTACAGTTAGTAACTACGCATCAAACGTTTTATTAAAAAAAAATTAGTATGATATTGTTTCTCCGTTTTTTCTATCACCTCCTGACACCTGTCCCTCATAGAGTCTACATAATATTTTAACATCGAGTTTGGAATTGCGTTCCATTCCTCGACCTAAATCGCTCTAATTCGCCGAGATTTTTTGGCATACGCCTCTCGACGTTTCGTTTAACGATTGCCCATAGATTTTCGATAGGGCTTAGGTCAGGACTGTAGGATGGCCAGTCGATAATTTCGGGAACACTTTCTTCAAGAAATGCCCGGGCGAGATGGTTATTGTGCTTCGGATCATTGTCCTGTTGCCATCGAAACTCGTCACCAAGCATTACCTCTCCTCTGGAATATATTCTTGAAGAATTCCAACATCGTATCCCTGAAGAGCAAGTTACACGGATCTATATGTCGCGGAAATTTTTGCCATTTTTTTGTCACACACTGTATTTACAAATATAAATATTATACTGGATACATATGCTTGTAAATTTAAACTATCAAATCCTAATAAAATAAATATTTAAAGTTATTACGTATTTCATAAAATTATTAGACAATAACCTTTATGATTGCTTTATTTGAAAAAAATCCATTTTTTTCAAATTAGAATTATCTAGCATTTTCCTGGTGTTAAATATTAGTAATTCTACAAAACAGAAATTTCTTTGCAATTATAATATAGACTGAAATTTACTTTCTCTGGACACATGCAAACTTTTATTTTATATAACATTTATATTTAACGAATACAGGAAGTATCAATATGATTCATTATGAAGGCTAAGAAATTATCGGCTGCTCAAATCAGTGTTCTAATAAAATCGCACCATCCAATTTTAA